CCTTACCTATTGGTATAATGTATCTCGGTACACTGCCATACCTGGTGATATAATGTATCTCGGTACACTGCCATACCTGGTGGTATAATGTATCTCGGTACACTGCCATACCTGTATCTCTGTACACTGCCATACCTGGTGGTATAATGTATCTCGGTACACTGCCATACCTGGTGGTATAATGTATCTCGGTACACTGCCCTGGTGGTATAATGTATCTCGGTACACTGCCATACCTGGTGGTATAATGTATCTCGGTACACTGCCATACCTGGTGGTATAATGTATCTCGGTACACTGCCATACCTGGTGGTATAATGTATCTCGGTACACTGCCATACCTGGTGGTATAATGTATCTCGGTACACTGCCATACCTGGTGGTATAATGTATCTCTGTACACTGCCATACCTGGTGGTATAATGTATCTCGGTACACTGCCATACCTGGTGGTATAATGTATCTCGGTACACTGCCATACCTATTGGTATAATGTATCTCGGTACACTGCCATACCTGGTGGTATAATGTATCTCGGTACACTGCCTTACCTGGTGGTATAATGTATCTCTGTACACTGCCATACCTGGTGGTATAATGTATCTCGGTACACTGCCATACCTGGTGGTATAATGTATCTCGGTACACTGCCATACCTGGTGGTATAATGTATCTCGGTACACTGCCATACCTGGTGGTATAATGTATCTCGGTACACTGCCATACCTGGTGGTATAATGTATCTTGATACACTCCCTTACCTGGTGGTATAATGTATCTTGATACACTCCCTTACCTGGTGGTATACTGACACAAAGTACAGTTTAATACGGCATTAGCAAAATGTGTTAAAGAATAATTAACTTCAAAATGTACGCACTCAAAGCTAACCTTCATATTGTGTTAAGAGAACATAATCGGATCTCTGGCATTTCAGAGACAGAAGCTACGAGTTCCTTACTCCATTGTACTTGGTGGGGAATCCATTCTCCATTGAGTTTGAAGATTAATTTGAGATCTGAAAGTTCCAATCTAGGATCAATGTATTAATAATATTTTCTCTGTTCTCTCTCTCTCCAGGATCGGTGTGGATAGTTTTGAACATTCGACAGGTTTGCCCGTGAGACCTTCAACAGCTTACGGCTATCGCCCAGATGAGCCATATTACTACGGCATTGGCGCGCGTTAAATACGGCATTAATAAATATCGTCCCATGTTCTGATGGCTTGGATGTTCTCTAACCATGATAAAGGCATGCTTTAACCACTGTTAGTATTTATTGAATTTTTATAGTTAGTGTGCTAATTTATACGTTATATTTGTCGTCAAACTAATGTTTTATTTATAAATCACAGATAACAGACAATGTTATTGATAAAAAAAACTGTAACCCTACAACATGGCGTCCTAAATGTATGTTATATGGTTTCAGCAAATACATAGCCTGAAACTTGTCTTAGCTTTCTACATCTTCTGTCACAGCAGTTGGTGGATCCGCATACTGATGGTCACTTCACTGGAAATAACCCATGAATTAAAACATTGAAAATCACCTTTTTTATTTAATTTGTGTCTTCTTTTGTCAACATTTTCTTTTTACTGTGTTGTTATTCCAATCTGGTTCAGGCCAGGCACAGCGAGGGCATACATTGCATTGTTCGATGCTAACTGCTAGATGTTAAAGGTGGAGCTTGTAATGAGGATTGACAGGGAGCCAAGATGGAGGCGCCCAGGTTAGAGCTAAATGTGGCAGTCAGTATTTCTACATTTAATTGAGTTTTTTTGCATTATAAAAACATTTTACATGACGGGATAAAATGATCAGTTTTAACAATTCTGCAAAGTGAGAATTCCTCTTTAAGATACAGTAAAAATTTAAATCTGTATTTTAATGGACCTGCTGAACATCATGCCTGACAAAGCGATGTAAGTGTACTGAAAGTTGGAAATGTTAACCACTAAGGTGATCATCTTTATATCACCCCCATGGTTTATCACAAAAAGTGAGACTTTTAGTAAAAAATTCCCAATTCTTAGTCTTGCACATCCTATATGCCAGCACAATATGCGAACTAGCTCAGTGATTAATATATCTAGAATTTATTAAAGTCACAGGTCTCATTGCCTTCTGTCATTCAGAGACGACCCAGCAGCAAATCCCAAACAGCAAATGTATTGGAACCTACAGCATTTCAGCCCCAATGAATGGCTTTCCTCTAAGGTTTGTCTCTGGTGCTTATTGGGGCTGAAACGTTGTGTGCCTCCTGCCTCATGACTATGGCCCCTCTCATCAGCCCATCCTAGACTTAACCCCATGGTGATTTTGTTCTGTTTGTGGGATCTGAGCGCTGTTCGGATATACTGAGCACTCAGATCCAAGTTATCTGGGGAT